TACCAAAGCGCTGAGGACTTGCAGTCGCAACATCTTGAAGGTGTATAGGGACGGACGCATGTACAATAGATGATTCGAGTACCTTCTACAGGACAAGAACTTTAGGGTGAGCCTTCCCCCTCCGAACAAAATAAACAAATTCAAAAACAAACAAAAAAGTAAAATAAAAGCAAATAAATGTTCAAATTAATCCTAGTGCTAATTTGTATCGACATTAACCAAAATCAAATAAACATTCCCTGACGACGACGCTAAAAACTTAGTGCGTGTATTTGTGCTCATAGGTGCACGAGTCGCCTCAAGTAATAAAGTGTGAATAAGAGTGTAGATCCCACGATGAATGTTTTTAATTTTTATTAAGTACAAAAATTGATCAGCTCTATGATTATTTGAATGATCGGATAAAAATTGAATAAAAGGAACTAATAAAAATAGCAAAGCAAATAAAATAAAGTGACGAAAACAAGTAATAAAAATACGAGAGCATTGATTTCATGATAATTATTCCGCATTAATTTACTAGTAAGTGAATCTCCTAATTTATTAGTCAAGAACCCTTAATTAATCCAATTACCTCTCCCGAGTTCCTAATCGGATAATATGCTCAAAACCCGATTCCAATATTCTTATTAAAAACTGAGTAAATGAACATTCCTTAAGCTCTAGTTCTCCTAACGACTACGAAGGTATTTTAGGCCTTCCAAACTCTAAAAACCTAAGTTGTGTTATCCAACTCGGACGTATAAATTACCTCTTCCAAGTGCCTAATTCATATGTCAAATTATCTAATCTATTTCCCAATAAATTAGAAGTTTTAAGAATGGGACAACACAAATAAATCAAGAAAAATATCTTAACATAAATCAACACTTCATAATTCAGTAAAATCAAGCTCTAAAAATAACAACTACTCCATAACTAATATTAAATAAGCTAAAATCATGGATTCTATCATACACAAATCAAAAAAATAAAAAGATAAAAATAGGAAAGAAAAACTCATTCTGAAGTTGTCACAATCTCTAAATTCTTCTTCTCGCCTACTTCTTTGATCTCCAAATGCTCTCTCCCATAATGATTTCCTAAAAATAAAACCTAAATCTAAAACTAGAAATAAATCCTAAATCTAAAAATATTTATTTTACTTTTTTTTTTCTCATTTCCCTTTTTTTCTTTGGAAGCTCCCTTCTGCTCTCCCTTGCTGGTTAGTGGAGCTCAAGTAATGAGCTGATGAATAATGCGCCCAAAAAAGCCCAAAAAATCCCTCTTATTATCACGCCAAATGGGAGACAGGCTTTGAGTGAATGCCCCACGTGGCAAATTTCAGTTAGGGATGGGAGAACTTGCTGACGTGGCAGCATGTAACAGGATGGGAAAAAGGGTACACCAAAATCTTAGGCCTCGTTTATTTCACTAACTCAAGTTTTTAATTTCAGTTTTATTACAGTTAAAAACTCTCATAAAAAGTCACATTTAACTTTTCTGTTACAGGGAAAAATTTTTACATAAAATTACATCTCGACTCAAATTAAAAATTTGAATCTGCAAACTGAATGAGACCTTAGTGAGGACGCTGCATGCGACCAGAGGAAGCTGGAGATAGTAGGGGACAGCCACGCAACATGGCGCGCGCTAATTGGTTGTTCTCTGCTTCTTTGTCTGCTTGAACTCACATTTCAAGGAGGTGCTACACACGCGATCTGGTCTGTTGGTGGTGCAGATCTAACGGTCACAAAAGCAAATTCGGCTTCTTTTTCTACTCTCCAAATGGGCTTTATTTGATCTGAATTCTATTTTCAATTTCTGATTTGTTTCTTTACATTTTGCCCCATTTCAGCTCAAAATTTTGTAATTAAGCCCACCTGTCACCAAATTCATTACATAAATGAGGAAACTAATTATTTTGAAAGAAAATTAAAGTAAAAGTTACTAAAACTAAACTAAATAAATTAAAATAAATCTAAAATGAAAAGTATTCATTAAAATTCAAAATAATATAAAATAATATAAAATAAGGTAAAAATCTTAAAAAATAGCTACTGTAACTGCACAAAAATAGTGAAATAACTCTATTTTAATAGAATTAATTAAAACGTTTTTAGTCAAATAATTATACTAGCAAAATAGTAATAATCAAGAATAAATGATAAAAATCCATATCGATGCACTCTTAGGAGGCGTTTGGTATGCAGTAATCTTAAGGATGGGAATGGAAATCTGCAATATTATCATGTTTGGTACAAGAATTATAATTTTTAGATTCCCAGAAAAGTGATTACCATGGGATTCACTTTCTCTCATTTTAAGGTAATTTGAATACCACCCAACATGGTGTTATTCAAATTCCCAGGAATCTCAAAATCATGGGAATCTTATTATTAGTATTATTATTAGTATTATTATTAGTATTATTATTATTATTATTATTATTATTATTATTATTATTATTATTATTATTATTATTATTATTTAGAAATATTTTTAGACTAAAATCATGGAAATGATATTTCTTATCTAAAAAATAGCCTTAAAGTACCCCGGAGAGAATTGTTTTTGGTTATGTTATCTATTAAATTTTACGTAAATATTAAGATATCAATTCACTAGAAGACATGAAACTGGAATGTAATTTTCTTTTTTAAGTCCAAACAACCCTGATTTTTCTGTTTTTGGTGCCGTCATGTAACTAAAATTCATGGCATGATTAAAGTATTTGCGTGAAACTTAAGATCACATAGAGTACTAGCTAAATAGTAAAAATGAGTGTGTCTGTCGATTAGATACTGCAAAGTAGACTATCTCATGCGGGAGATTTTGATGGTCCAGGCCACTAATGCTCTCTTCACTTTGTTTTGAGGGTTTCTGATTCTGGATCATAATTTTTAATTCATTACAGTATTTTTTCTCATAAAAAATTTAAATTTTAAAAATTAGAATCACGAACCATAGTTATAAATCTATAAACCAAACGTCATTTAAATTTTACAGAGATTACGAGGTTCGGATTTATGGCAATGCTCCCTACAAACAACGACCAATAACATAACAGTCAAATAGGATAGTAAGGGGCAAGACAACCATATATATACACACATAGAAAAATGTGTTAAGTCCAACTCTCAAACCAGTTCCGTAAATATAACTTTTTTTGTATTCTTGAATAACATTATTCATTCGAGTGTGTAACATTCAACCTGTTTAAGTATAATATATAAAAAAATATGTCCAATACATGTAAGTTTGTATATTATATTTAAACAAATAGAATGTTGCACGTATACGAACAATGTTACGTGAATATATGAAAAAGATTATAATTATACTAATTGTATGGGTGTTAGACTTAAGGTTTTACTTATATATATATATATGTGTGTGTGTGTGTGTGTTCTACTCTTGAATATTTCCCAATTAAAAAAATCTAATTAACATTAAAATTAGAAAAAATGAAAAGGGTGAGCTCGTGGGCAATTGGGCATGCCACGTACACATAGACAGACTGTAACATTGTAAGCTTTCACTTTCCAAGTCTGGTAAGGTTTGGCTTTTCTCTCGTGGCTCTCACTTTGTGATGTGGACTGTGGACCCTATTTACATAATCTGCTTTTCTTTTTGGCGCTTTTTTCCTCTAATATCTCCCCACGTAATAGTCATTTCATTTTCATTAATTTAGTAAAAGAGAGGAATAGAATTTCACGAGGAATTTTTTATTTTCATAAAGTTAGAAGTCATTATCTCACATTGAGAGAACACTTTGCAAGGGAATTTTCCAGTTTTTTATTTTCTTATTTTTTTGGTTTTCATGCGAATCCAAATCTTCTTTCTTTCATGAATGTCACATTTTTACTTTAAATGTTTTCTGCTTTTAAAATATCACATCATAACAACAATGCTAAATGAGATGACACCTTACTCCTTTCCATATTAACTTTTTAATGCAACTTTGTCTCACTGTCCAAAACTTGGGTGTTAATACTGGAATTTACCAGTTTGGACTTTTGTTTTTAATCCAATTAAAAATCCCAACTCACTTGTTTAATAGAAAAAATAAAAGGTTGTTCTTTTATAACGAAACTCAGAAAAAGTTTAAACTCAAGTTATAATTTTATTCAAGTTTTTTTGTAAAATTTGAGTTTGAACTTGAGTTTGAACTCGAGTTTGAATTCGAGTTTGGAGCTAAATTCGAGTTCAAGTTTCTCCTTCAACTCGAGTTCATAAACTCAAACTCAAGTTAATGAACAATATTTTTTCTATTCTTAAAAATGTCATAATATTTTCGTTTTAATTCTTATTGAGATGATTTTTTTTCTATGCATTCACAATGAAAAGACGAATAAAATCTCACCTATATACCCTATTAAAATTTTTCATCACCATTGAGTTTTTAAAATACTATCTAAATACAAATTTAAGTTTTGACACATCTAAACACAAATTCAAAAAGATTCTCAATTGAAATCATAACTCAAATGTGCACATCTACACACAAACTCAAGTTATAATTTCAACTCAAATTATAACTTAAACTCAATTTAAAATCGTCATTCAAATCACACTAACTCAAAAATGCAAAAGAATGAGCCTTAAGGTAATCCACAAGTTTGTCATATAGTTAAAATAAAAGAATTTTCTATTTTCTATTTAAAAATAAGCCCCAAGATCAGACATGTCTTTACTTTCAACTTAAGGTTAGAGTGCAAATCTCACACCTTTCCAAAATCTCCCCAAAAAAAAAAAAAAAAAAAAAAAAAAGCCTAAACTATCTATAGGGGAACTCCACATACAGGTCTTTGAGAGCATTAAAGTTTTTCTGGCAGAGAGAATAAAGGGTTCCCTTCTCTGCAAGAATCCTTCTTTCTCTTTTTTTTTCCTTTATTACTCTCAGTCCAACCATGGTTTCTCTTTAGACCATACAGAAAGCAGAGACAACTAACTATGTATTCTATATAATGAGGAAAGAAATATTAATGGGCTTTCCTGTTTTGTTTCCTTTTAATAAATTGAGAAACACTTTGGAATGTTTGTTTTGTTGGAGAAATCAGATTTTCCAAGTCATTTTGAGAGTTTCTCTTCTTTTGGTTCATTTTTTTTTTCCTCTTTTGAAATTGTCCGAGTCTGGTGAGAAAACAGAAAACTGACTTCTGTAGAGAAAATAACTCTGTGATGTGCTGTCCGTAGACACTTGACTTGAGAGACACAATCTGAAACTGCAAACGTATGGCCCAAAACCCTTTTGGTTTCTGTTCAAAAGTATGATTTTGGAAATCATTATGATATCTCTTTCTCTGAGTTTCTTTATTTCTTTCTTGTCTTTTCTTTTGTTTTTGTTTTTGTTTTTTTTTTTTGAGATTTTCTTGTGCCTTTGCTACTTTTGCAGCCAATTCCGGTGGGCATTTAACAAGTCACTCATTATCATCATCCAATTTAGTTGTTTTCCTTAACTGGCTTTTCTGTTACGGCCTGAGAAGAGAATAGGAAAATACCATTTCAATCTGTTTGAGGTAAGTTTCTGCATTTGAAATATTTCTTTTTTTTTCTTTTTTTTTTTAAAGAGATGTAGTTAATTCAAAGCATATCAAGAAATGAAAGCTTCATGATAACGTGATACACTAATAAATTGGTTAATGACATACTAAACAAATTACTCAATATTTTGTATCTTTTCTGATTTTTGTGTTCCTTTTCAGTTGAAGAAATGTTGAAAATAATTGATTCTTTTATACTTGCAGGGAATTCTCTTGAAGTTGTCTGTATATCTCATTCCAATTTCCGTTCTCTGTAGTTCTTAGTGCATAACTACTTTCTTCTTATGTCCCCAATTTTCTCAAATTGTTTAGTCTCAAAACTTCTTATCTTTTACCTTACAGTTGGTTCAATGTAATTATCTGCAAATGGAAAAACTAGTGCACCATTCTGTATTTCTTGTTGTTGTTACGGTGTTTCTTCTAATCTGTCGATCGGAGGAACTCCGATCTTCCGAGTCTCAGGCTCTTTTGAGAATTCAGAGACTTCTCAACTTCCCAACCATTCTAAGAGAATGGAAAAACAATACCGATTTCTGTAACACTGAACCAAACCAATCCTTAGCTGTTGTGTGCTATGAAGATAGCATAACCCAGCTTCATATAATTGGTGAAAAGGGAGCTCCTCTCTTGCCTAGAAACTTTTCGATAGATTCCTTTGTAACAACTCTTGTTAATCTACCGGATTTGAAAGTCCTAACTTTCGTCTCTCTTGGTCTATGGGGTCCCTTGCCTGATAAAATCGGGCGTTTGACATCACTGGAGATACTTAACATGAGCTCAAATTTTCTCTATGGTGGCATCCCCCGAGAGGTTTCATCGCTAACAAGTCTTCGAACACTCATACTCGATGACAACATGCTGGCTGGTCGGTTACCGGGTTGGCTGAGTTCACTCCCACTTTTGACTGTTTTGAGTTTGAAGAATAATTCGTTTAATGGATCTGTGCCGACTTCATTTGCTTATCCTGAAAATCTAAGAGTTCTTGCATTGTCACATAACCACTTTTACGGAGAGGTTCCCGATTTTAGTCGGTTGACAAACCTTCAAGTTCTTGAATTGGAAGACAATGCTTTTGGACCAAAGTTTCCTACCCTTGGAAGCAAGTTAGTTACTCTGGTACTAAGCAAGAACAGGTTTAGATCTGGCTTGCCTTCTGAACTCAGCTCCTATTATCAGCTTGACAAACTAGACCTTTCCTACAATTCTTTTGTGGGGCCATTTCCGCAATCATTGCTATCACTCCCTTCTATCACTTATCTAAATGTTGCAGGAAACAGATTCACAGGAATGCTTTTTGGCAATCAATCTTGCAGTCCTGTTCTTGAATTTGTGGATTTGTCCTCAAATCTTTTGACTGGAACCGTACCTAGCTGCCTTGTATCGAATTATAAGGACAAGGTTTTCCTATATGCTATGAATTGTTTAGCAACCAGAAAACAAAAGCAACATCCATTGCAGTTTTGTCGTAATGAAGCTTTAGCTGTCGGAATCTTACCTGAGAAAAAGAAGCAAAAACAAGTTTTTAAGGCATTTCTTGCCTTGGCTATACTTGGAGGTGCTTTTGGAAGTATTCTCCTTGTACTTGTAATTTTCTTGATTTATAGAAGGATTAACTCCAGGGTAATAAAGAAATCTTCTACAAGATCAATAGCGGAGAATGCGTCGACTGGAACTGGATACACCTCAAAGTTGCTCTGTGATGCAAGTGAGCTTTCTCATCTCTATCCCTTCCCTTAAGCAAACATACATTTCTTTGTCTTATGTGAATGCATTGTGGTATTTACTATTTAGGTTAAACATAAGTGCTTAGGCAAATGTATATTTCATATGAAATATTGTCTTACAACTATTTTGTCGTTTGGATAAGTTGATGAATAAACAAATGACTCTCCTAAGAGTTAAACAGACACAAGTTTTTTGCAGACAGAATGTTTTGCGAAACATCGAATAATACATAAATAAGGAATGCATAAAATAGCTGAGCAAATCCTGTATGGGCTTTTCTTGTTCTTTATAGAATTTACAGCACATCAAACACTGATATTATTTGTATTAAGGGTATATATCACAAACAATGAAGATGGGAGCGCTTGGTCTTCCTGGTTATCGAACCTTTTCTTTGGAAGAGCTTGAGGAGGCTACAAACAACTTTGATACATCTGCTTTTATGGGTGAAGGTTCTTATGGGCAGGTATGCCAATCACTTATCATATAAACCTGTGCTACTTTATCACTGAAGAAAAATACCCACTTCTGTAATTCAATGCTATTTTAGCTTATTTAATGAGCTCTAGTGAATATTAATAGAAGCTTATAAGATTAGTCATTAGCCTTACAAAACATACTTTAAATTTGTAGTGATGTCATACAATAACGGCCATTTCAGATCCGGCAAAAGATGAAGCTCCACTTAGTTTGTTCTTTGAAACTTTCATGTTCATCTTAAGATAGCTAATCTTTGTATTGCTTATGATGAAGAGGTTTACTTAGAGATATTATTTACGTTGCTTTTGGCCTAAAGCCCGATTTTTGTTAATGCATTTTCCTAATTCTATGTATTAGATTTTCGTATAATAACTTTTGTGTTCTGTTTCTTTTCTTATCTCAGATGTACAGAGGCCTGCTGAGGGATGGTTCCTATGTTGCTATTAGATGCCTAAAAATTAAAAGGAGGCACGGCACGCAAAATTTCATGCAACATATCGATCTTACTTCTAAACTCAGACATTGGAACTTGGTTAGTGCTCTTGGGCATTGCTTTGAGTGTTACTTGGATGATTCCAGTGTCAGCAGCATGTTTCTTATCTTTGAATATGTACCAAATGGCACTCTAAGGAGCTGGATCTCTGGTAAGTTTATGAACTTTATATTTAGTTTCTCAGAATAAAGGACCTGTAAGTCACACCACTTGTACTGCTCATTATTCTATTGACTTCTTTTGTGAATTGAGTGTTTGGTGAAGGAAGGGTCAGTCGCCCATAAACCATTATGACGCGAGGGAACAAGAATTGTAATGGCAGCCCATAAGCATTAGCAATAGGGTATTCCATTGATAACGATAGAAAGAGTGATCCAAGGAAGCCATTGATAGGATAAAAACACTGTAACAAGGACAAATTTATGGGTCACCCTCCAAGTTTAAATCATAGGGTCACTTATAATGCAAATGCTTCCTTCATAGGATCACTTTTCTAAGGTTTTTTCTTTAAATTTTAATCCATGAAATTGACCGGTTCTCAGAACACTAAGAGAGCTATGATTAGTCTAGGCACCAGTTGACTTGCTACAAAAGTAAGTTAAGGGCACATTGTTTTCTCCATCTCCCTTTGTGTCCATGAGAACAACTTTGTATATGTTCCATTAATAGACCAAAATAACCACCATTTGATACCTTTTAACTTATATGTCACCATCGGTTTTCACTTTTTGAGTTTTCTTGGGCAGAGGGACATTCCAAGCGACCACTAAGTTGGATACGACGGATAGCAGCCGCAATAGGCATAGCAAAGGGTCTCCAATTTCTACATACTGGGATTGTGCCTGGCATATACAGAAATAATCTCAAAATAACAGACATACTACTTGATTACAGCCTCACTGCAAAGATTAGTAGTTATAACCTCCCCTTATTGGCAAATAACTTGGGCAAGGTAAGCAGAAATATTCCTTCTGTTCTTTAGTCCCTCGAAGAAATCGGTTTGAATTGGCAATAAGCATGGTTCTTCTTGCAGGTTAGCCATGGCATTTCTTCCAGTGGATCCAAAGATCCCTGGATTGATGAGGAAAAGATTGATATTTATGACTTTGGAGTAATATTGCTGGAAATCATTAAGGGCAGACAAGTAAATTCTGAAAAAAAGGTGGATGCACTAGTAGATCAGGTAATCAGTGCTCTTTTTTTATTATTATTTTTATTTATGTTCTGTTCTTATTACTACTATAACTGCATTTTAGGCTTGTTCTGAAAAAGAAGAAACATTTCTTGGCAGGGTTCACTTGCATTTTTAGATTCCATTATCCTTCTCTTTTGAAATACGACATATATATAAACACGAGTACGTTCTGCTAGAAAGATTATATTTATGTTTCCAAGCCATTAGCTGTAGAAAATCCAATAATTTCATGCTTAACCAATGTGCATATAAGAAATTATAGGTCCTAAAGTAGCTCAAATTAAGTAGTCTTGTAAGACGGTTAATAATTTTGTTGGAGAGAATATCGTATGGAATATGGGGACATGACACTTTTTGTTTTTGTTTGTTTTTTTTTTTTTTCCTGGCACAATGCAGTTACAACTTGCAATTGCAGCTGATAGAGCAGCTCGACGGAGTGTGGTTGATCCTGCAGTTAACAGGTCATGCTTGGACCAGTCGTTGAAGACGATGATGGAAATTTGCGTCAGGTGTCTGCTCAAGAAACCAGAAGATAGACCTTCGATTGAAGATATATTGTGGAATTTGCAGTATGCTGCTCAAGTTCAGGGTGCATGGCGCGGAGACTCACAGAGCAGTGACAGTTCTCCAATCTGACCTCAACAACGTTCATTCGCCACTTTCTGTTAGTAACAGCATACTGGTTTGTTTTATACTTCATTCTTCTCTTTAGAATCTTTCTTATGCATCATAATGTTGGTTCGAGGTAAGGAATCTAATCACTGTGGAACAAGGCTATGTCCGGTAAGCGGGACTCAGGAAAGGTATATAACTTGGTGAGAAAAAAACTATGGCCGTGTTTGAAATTGATCCCTTTTCACGTTTTTCGAGAAAAAAAAAATGAAAAACGTTTTTAAAACGGCGTTTGGCGCAATAAAAACAAAAAACGGAAATGAAAACGATTTTTTGGTTTAGTGTAAAATGAGAGATAAATGAAAAACGACTTTTAGTCGTTTTTCATTTTTTGTTTTTGTTTTCTCCTCTCTCAAGTAGAGAGAGAAAGAAAGACATTAATAGGTTTTTTTTATACTGAAAACAATCTCTTGATAAAACTATCAAACGCAATTTTAAAAATATTTCTGTCTGAGATTGAAAACGTTTTCGTTTTCATTTTCATATAAAAAACAAAATCATTTTAGAACGAATTCCAAACGCGCAACATATAGCTCAAATGTTGGAATAGCATTGGAAAGTCATCATTTTCCTTCTTACATTTAAGTACTAAAAGAGGAGTCCTAAATTCCTAATAAAGGAAACATTTCGTTTTTTCATCTTCTATTCCACGCAAGATTTGTCAGCCATAATTTAACTTTTCGCCACTGCAGAAACATGGAAGCTGATAGATGGAAAGGGAATGGCACCAGCAAAATCAAATGTTGTTGGCAGGAACAATATCTTTCCGGTATGGCCCTCTTTGTAAGGCTTTTCCATTACACACTTTTCGTTGGCGTAGTGGCGTTTCTAATCCTTTTCGGCATAGTTTGGAATTGTAGACCGTGCTAGTTGCCTCTAAAAAGAGAAAAAGAAGGCACTCAAACTCAATCCTACTATCATGCAAGGATTCCACATTGTAATAGATTAAACAGTATTGTGTAATATTGATTATTATGTGATTTTTTCTTAAATCATAATCAATATCATACAAAACAAAAACAATTTGGTTTATTACGTTGTGCCAAACAAAAGATTTACTCTAATGTTGAGAGTAGTCCACCAGGACTTTCTTAGTAATTGTCAAATGAATGGTTGTGTTGTAGTTGCAAGCAGTGACGGAGGGAGGATTTTTATTTATCGGGGGCGTAAATCTTTTTCTAAATACTTTTTAGATAAATTGAATTTTTTTTAAATTTAGATGGACTAATATGTTGGTTTCTGAAACGCGAAAATGAATAGGCGCGGATTGTGTATAATAAAAATTTTTATAAAATTTTTAAAACATTATATATTACATTACATTTTAAAAATTTTCACAACAATTAGGTTAACAATTAGGTCGATAACTTGAGTTTTTTAATCACAAACAATTTTCGCTCTAAGCTTTTTAGGAATACCAGAATCTGTCTTGTCTATTCCTTGATACCTGCAAGACCTAGAGTGTGAGCTCTAATTTAGAATTATAGAATTAATCACTCGTTAATTTTTACTTCCACTAATATCAACACGTGTATGAGGTGAAATTAGGAATGAAAGAACTTATATTTTCTTTTTCTCTCAAGTTACACGGCTGTCACTTGATAAATCATTTTTTTACTACAATAGTTGCGGATAAACTTAAGTAGTTCAGAATGTAAATTAAAAACTTTAACATTGGAAAGTCATAATAATTTAAATATAAGTCATTTATGAATATATTTAACATAATTTAATGTAGACATGATCTAATGGAGTTTTCATGGACATAATTATAGAAACGTAATTACTTAGTCATAATTAAAAGCCATATTAATTATAAGCGGAAATTGTTGTATGGTGGTATCCATGCCCAATCTTCTACCGTACACGTCCTCCGTTACTAAGTCCATAATAAGCAACTGGCTTTTTACCTACAATATGAACAAACTTAGTGAGCGATAGCTAAATAAGTACAAATATTGCTCACAAAACATTTTTTTTTCCTTAATTAATAACATCATATAAAAAATGAATGACCATTTATGCTTCATTATGAGAGCGTATATTATTATTATAGGGCCTTGTGCTCGTACTGAAGGCGCGCGACCTATGAGGTGTTAGGGATGCGACCTAAACATTTAGTTTGATAGCACCCAAGGTCTTAATTAACATTATCTTTCTTTCATAACTCTCTCATTTGGCTGGAGTGGTAATTATCATGTTTGACCGGAGTGGTACGGCACCCTTTAAGTCTTCCTTTACTATAGCCTCATATTAAAAGTGAACATGTAATTATGATCATATTACATAGGCATATAAATTCATTCAAACTAAAGAGACAATCATCATATAAAATTCATTTAATCATGAAAATGTTATGCATAATAGCAAACAACTTACAAACATATCATGTCATTTTAAAATCACTCATATTGTTGGTGAAGTTTGTACTTACCTTATCACAACTACTCATAGAAAGGTTTAATTTCTAACAATAGTAATCATCATAACCTTGTATTAGTAACATTTAACAATACTAATATAATAACTACACATATGATACTACTATTCCATTTTTACTTCCTATCTATAAATTTACATATTCTTTAGATCCAATCGTTTAATCATGTCTTAGTCAAAATTCCATAACTTAACTTACATGATACTATACATGTGTTCAAAATATTTCCAGTATATAGTACTATTTAGACATAGTATTCACGTATATGTGCGAAATCAACGTAGTATTTGAGAATAGTACTGATTAGGTAAATTCTCAGAAAAGATTGTATAAATCACTTCAATCCTGTTAACCAAAGAACAAGATTGGACAACCTTCTTAGACAAAATTACATTTCTAAGAAGGTTCGCAAGAGAGGCTTAAGGGATCACAATGGTTCCACCTAAAACTCTGTCTCCTTAGTCAGAACCTACTTACACAGTACGTACTTACACAACTTCTACGGACCATGTTACGATGTGAATACAAGAAAATCAAAGTGTATTTATTTATGCGTAGGGTATTATTCATGTGTACGTGTACTATTCAAGTATGCGGGTACTATTCATATATATGGGATACTATTTATACATATGGGTACTATTCATATGTACATGTACTATTTATGCATATGGGGGTTATTCATACATACAGGAACAATTCACGTATATGGGTACTATTCACCTGTACGGACATTAGCCTACGGGTACTTGGGAATTATAAGAACTTATAGTAGATCCATTTGTATTCTTGACTCAAACATCATAATCTCTTATAATAATCTAATTCTTAACTTGGGCATGATAATGACTTAAAGTGGAATATTTACCTAAGCAATATCATAGTAAAAACGTAAATATGTAAATAGTGACTCTATTAGAATTCATACCTTTTTAGTAGAATCCCGACCCTCAAAAACTTCTATAACCTCCGATATAAGAAATATTTAAGAGAGAGAAACAAAGATAATTTCGTTTCTGAAATTTTAAGACGAAGAAAAACTGAATTCTGAATGCCTATTTATAAAAAAAATCTAGAGGTATTATGTAGTTACTATGCACACTATTTGTGAATAGTAGAGGTTATATTATATTTTTACTACTCAAATGGTGATTATGTTTTACTCTTAGTTCAGATAGTGGTAGTATAACATTACCATTGCTATAGGTAGCAAAGTTATAATACTTCTATTCATTGGCAAAGGGTCGTATAACATTACAACTCTTCTAGGTAGTAAGATTACAATATTTCTATTTATTGATCAAATAAAAGAGTTTTATTTCCAATTTCTATTTAATACAAATTTGTGGTAATTACACCGACGTCATTCTCTTTCTTATGGAGCTGCTCTTTTAGTTGTCTGCCCGAACTCTGTTTTGGGGTTCTTAGTTTAAGTGGGATGACCCAATATTCTTATATGGCTCTAATTAAGTTTGTAGCCATCAATCTTGTTTTGATGGATTGACCTAGCTCGTTTGAGCAATGAGCTCTGATACCATATTATAGTTTGAAGAGAGAAGTGTGGGAGAAGAATTGCACTTTATAGGGCATTTCGCTTCCATCTTAAAAGGTTAACTTGTTTAAGTGGAATGACCCAATATCCTTATATAGCTCTGATTAAGTTTGTATTTAAACGATGTGGGGCACGGGCATTTTATGCTTAACACATAAATCCCATAACAATAACCTGATGCAGACTTGAAGTTGTAAACATGAAGGCTTTGGAGTTGAATGATTCATTTTCTGCAACGATTAGCGTGATGGAGTCATCATCATTTGTCAAACAACTAGTGGCTTCCTCTTTTTTTGTGAAATTTAATCTTCACAGATCCATCTTTTTCGGTGGTAAAATGGGTTCAGTGTATTGGACTGCTACATGTGGTTAGTGAAGAAGCTTCTCATAGTTTGGAAGAAGTTTTTTAGTTCGTCTATCAGGATTTGCCTGAGAACATGATGTTGTAAAGAGTAATTCCTGAGAAAATGACATGCATTTGGCTATTCAAGAACTTACCAAAACGAAATGTCGCATTCAGTTAGACCTCTCAATACGTGACACGTGACAGGAGCTACAGTCGGTGGAGGATTCTAGAATATGTATAGTTGTCCTCCATTCTGGTGAGATGAATCGAGATCATAAGTGTCCTCTAGGGTTTTCAAAGAGAGTTTCTAGAGACAGAAACAAGAGAGAGAAGCTGTGAACATTGAGAGATTTAGGTACGATTGTGTACTGGGAAAGACCGGAGTAAGAGGGTGATTTACTACCTAAATATATCCCCCTAGATCCACGGGTGTAGTGAAATCTCTGCTGTACAGTTTCTTGATCTGGGTTTGTTTCTTCTTTGTAATCTTTGAGTGAGGTGAAGCTTGAGGGTGTAATCGATTCTCTGTTAGTGGAAGGGTTTCTCGCAAGTGAGCCCAACTAGGATGTAGGATTCGTTGAATCTGAACCTCAGTAAAAATCTTTATGTGTTCTTTCTTTAAAAGTATTCTTGTGTGAATCCTTGAGCCGATGTTAGGATCGTTCTAACAGTGGTATCAGAGCTTTGGTTCGAGGCGTGAATCTAAGGTTAGGGCTCGAAGATCAAGATTCAAGATTCTCAAAAAGTCACTGCAGATCCAAGGCAGCCATGGTCTTGATGAAGTTTGAACTGGAAAAGTTTGATGGCTCGGGTGACTTCGGGCTATGGAGAAAGAAAATGACAGCAATCTTGGTCCAACAAAAGGTTGCTAAAGCACTCGGGGATATGAAAGATTTCTCTGGCTCTGAAGTAGAGAAGGAAGAGATGCAAGAGATAGCTTTCTCAATGATCATCCTCTACCTGGCCGACAATGTCCTCAGGCAAGTAAATGAAGAAAATACGGCTGCAGAGGTATGGCTAAAACTTGAGCAACTATTCATGGCCAAATCACTAACCAACAAGATCTATCTTAAAGAAAGCCTATTCAGTTTTAGGATGGACACTTCCAAGTCTCTTGAGAAGAACTTAGATGACTTTACTAGAATAGTTATTGATTTGGCCAATATTGGAAAAAAGATAGAGGAAGAAAACCATGCAATTTTACTATTGATCTCCCTTCCAGAAACGTTTAAAGATGTTAAGAATGCCATCAAATATGGAAGGGAGAGTCTTACCTTTGAGGATGTTCTATCAGCTTTAAGGTCTAGAGAATTAGAGCTTAAGTTTGAGTTGTCCTCTAAGAAAGACAGCCATGGAGATGAATGGCTCTTTTCCAGAGGCAGACCGCAAAGGAGAGATCAGAGCAAGCCCGATTATAGACAGAACTCGAGATCAAAATCAAGAAATGGTCAAAGAAAGTGCTATCATTGTAATAAGCCAGGCCACATTAAGAGGTTCTGTAGAGAGTGGAAAAAGAAGCTAGCTGAAAAAAAGGCAGGTGAAGGTGATGCTGCAGTTGCAAGTCAAGAAACAGGGTACGAAAGTTCAGAGATGCTGGCTGTTGGAATTAGCCAAAACGAGAATGAATGGATACTGGATTCTGGGTGTACATACCACATGTGTCTCAAGAAAGAGTGGTTCACTGATTATGAAGGCTGTAATGGTGGCAGAGTCCTGATAGGAAACAACCATTCTTGTTTAGTGGTTAGAGTTGGCTCGGTGGTTGTGAAACTGTCAAATGGAATACAACATGTGCTCAAGAATGTTAGACACATTCCA